ACACACACACACACACACACACACACACACACACACACACACACGACAGTGTTCTTCATTCAGAGTGTTTGAAGGGCCATCTGTAAGAGCTGTTCCAAGAATTGTTTTGATTTCTACTTTAATTGTCCCAAGTAAGAAAATAGCAAGCATGATTGTGCAGCATCCCAGTATGGAAGAAACTGGAGTTTAAAACTTTAAAACTGGCCAGTGTCATGGAGAACATAGAAGAGAAATTGCCAAAGCTTTGACCTCAAACTTTCACTGAGTTGCATATGTATTACTTAGTTCATTTCACCATTCTTTTCTGTTCTTCTCCCTTGAAGAATAAACCAGCCAGATAGGATGTGGGTCTCAGCAGCCATGCATGGGTCTTGTTAGGTTGGTGTTCTGCAGTGTGCTGCCCCTTCCTTTATAGAGATGTAAGGTGCAGTGTGACTGGAACATGGAACTGAGGTGGTGCTCAGCAAGTTGAGAAGAATGTCAGTCCTTTTGTCTGTTCTTAACATCTTAACACCAAGGAAACCCTTTCCTTTTTTAGCGTTTTGATGAGAAAGCACTATTAGGGCAAGATAATTTTCACAAATGAATAAAAAATGTTATTTAGCTCAGAAGACATCAGGTAAGTATGATCAAGATTTTCAGGTTTTCCAAAGAAAGTTAGAACTCTTTTTTGAGCTTAATTTTATATACATATTGTTTTAATTTTTTAGCTTTATTTCTTTTATATTACAGTTATTTTTTTAAATCAGCTTAACCTAGCTTTTTAGACTAGGTAACAGAATTATTTCTTTAGTGTTATATGATATATATAAGAACTGGGAAAAATTGAGTATTTTCTTTTACCAAAATGTAATCTTTGAGACCCATCCTTTCATGTCGAATATTTTTCACATAGTTAAGATTTAATTATCTCCAGTCATGTGTGCTAAGTGGGCTTTGTATTACCAAAATTGTGTTCCATGGTCATTCTGCTGCTTGTTCTAACTAAAATAATTTTACTTCGCAGGGTAGTATCAGACCACTTTCAGATCCTACCTCCTATGGGAACAATGTCAGTATGTTCCTACATAGTAATACTTAGGATTCTTTGAATATTTTATTTAATGTGTATGTATGCTTTGTGTGCATGTATGCCTGTGTACCATGTGTGTGAGACCTGAGGAGGCTGGGAGAGGATGTTAGATACCCTGAGACTAGGGTTGTAGGTGGCTGTGAGCCTCCATGTCGATTCTGGGAACTGAACCCAGGTTCTCCTATAACAGCATCAAGCATTCTTAACCACTGAGCCATCGTTCCAGCCCCCAGTATGCTTTTAATATATTTCAGATTCTGATCTTTGTTCTTAAAATCCATTGCTTTAGTTGGTCTTCACATCACCTAACATATACTTGCTTTGTGTCTCATGGTATGTAAGGAAACTGAGGTGTAGTCTATGAAGACTTGGGTAGTATCAGCTGATAAGTGGTGCAGCCACGCTTCACCATGAGTATGTTCACATTTGATACTTTGCTTGTCCTTTGATGAAAACTCATGTTGTAGCAGCTATTTTTATAATAGTTAAGCTTTTTGTATTAAGTTTTATCTATCTTTCTCTGAATGTAGGTGTGTCATCTAATGGACCAGGTGAAATACTAAACAAAGAAGAAGTAAAAGTTGAAGGCTTACATGTTAATGGACCAACAGGTGGAAATAAGAAGCCACTTCATACAGATATGGACACTAATGGTTATGAAGCAGATAACGTGACCACCGACCCAAAACTTGCCCATATGACTGCAAGAAATGAAAATGATTTTGATGAAAAAAATGAGAGACCTGCCAAAAGGCGACGGATAAACAGCAATGGGAAAGAAAGTCCGGGTTCGTCTGAATTTTTCCAGGAAGCAGTCTCGCATGGAAAATTTGAGGAACACGAAAACATAAACGACTAAGTCCTAGGCCTTTGTTACTTTCTTTGCAGTAAATTCTGGTGTGACTACAATTTTCAGGGTTGGTGGGTGACCTTTAGAAAGCTGATTTCTTTGCAGCAGTTGGTTAAATCTTGACATTTGAATTGAGTTCTAACTTTAAGAAATGGGATTCATAATTCCACCTTTTGCAAGTTCTTTTACTTCAAATTGTTGAAGACTCTTTAAGGATATAAAAATGGTAAATTTGAATGACCCAAAGACTTACCTGTACCTTCTCATTTGAGATACTAATTGTAAATTTGACTAAAAGTTAATTTTTCCTTATTTTTATGAGGAAGAATAGCGAGGGGGAAAATAAGCGTGTGTTTCTGCTCAGCACCGATTTTTGGATTATCTAGAAATGTCTTTACAACAGACATTTTTCTTTCCATACAAATTGAACATTGTCACTAAGGAAACCCTCATGAATCCTGAAGGTTATGCTAGCATGATTTTTATATGTAGAAGTTTAAAAATAAACCAAGTCAGGTTTGTATTTGTAAAATTGTTGACATCAATGATGTCTTTCCATATTCTTATCTGGGCTTAAGAAATACATTCTGTATTTTTCCAGATTCTTTGTAGCCTTTGAAAGATTTTTACAGTACATATGTCTTGACTGAGCTGTCCTTTCTTAATACAAAAAGCTTGTATAATTTTCTTAACTTGTACAGTTGGTAAACTTTTATGAGAGGAACTGATATTGAGTCTGTCAGCTTTCATTTTATTTTGCTAAGATTTTTCTAATGAATTTTTAAGTGTGTATAGTTAACCAAGTCATGTTTCTTATCCAGGTGGTAAAAGCATTCATAAAGAATTATGAACATATGTTTTTATTTTAAGCTTCTACTTATGGACAAATAATTTGGGACTTCTGGAGTTCAGCATGATGCTCAGATTGCAAGCTTGTTTGCATTTGCTATAATACTCAAAATTATTTTTGAAGCAAAACAAAGACTTACTGTCAGCTTCAGTTTGTAAATGTATCGTGCTGAATAGAATCCTGTTCAATTACTCTTGTATGCACTATAAGATTTCCCATTGTTTTCATTATGTCAACAGGAAGGAAAGGCCAGGTGATGTTGATATTGTCACATCCAAGAATATCTGTTGACAGGTAGCAATATTGATTTTTTTTATGAGAAAATAATGGTTTTAAGAATTTTCAGACCTTTCCAGTTATAATCCAGTTTGTCAGATTTGATACTGTTTTTCCAAAATGAAACAGATACAAAATAATCATTGTTCTGTGTGATTTTTAAAAAAGGATTACCTGTGTGCACTAGCCTTGTAAGGATTTTATTTTTAGTGTAAAATTCTTCTTATAAAATGTAGTTTTATACAGCTGATAGACCAATCTATCTCCAAACTTTTTTTTAGTAAAGGATTATTAGCTATCTTTTCTCACACAGCCACGTCCCCAAATGCTGCTTTCATTTTGTTTTCAGCCATCACTTCAAGAGCCAATGCTTTTAAAGACAGATCTGTGGTCCTTTTACTGGCTCAGTTGTCTGATGCAGCTTGGGTAAAAGTTTGCACTGAGAATGACCGTCTAGGCCTCATCCCTCAGAGTGTTCTTACATTTGTCTAGATTGCTTCCCCAAACCACTGGGAACGACTTTTTTTTTCCCCCAATCAGTATTGGAAGCCACTTTGACAACACATCGTATAACATTCATTTACTGTTTTTGCATAAATATCCTAATAAATCAGTTTCAGATGGAAGTGATAAGAAGCATGAGGGGGTTTTCTGTTTGTTTTTCAGAAAAAAAATTTAATTTATCCAGAATGGCAGTAGGTCAAGTAGCTTTAGCAGATGGCCATGTTCCCTGTCTGCCTGCCCACCCCCACCCATTTCTCTCTCTTCTTTTTTTTTAAAGACAGAGTCTCACTGTGTAACCCAGGCTGGCCTGGAACTTGCAATCCTCCTACCTCGGCCCCCTGATACTGAGATTGGAGGTGTTTCCCACCACACCCAGCTGTAATTTTTTTCCAAAGCAGATTTTACTAAGTGAGTGCAGGCCATCCTAGCTCTTTATCACAGGTGGTCTGTAGGAATGTTTTAAAGAACAGTGATGTTGTGCTTCTCAGTCTTTGCAGTATTGGAGGTGTCATGTCCACCTTTTTAAAGATCCATCTGGTGGCAAGTTTGTAGAGTTCTTGAGACCCGTAACAGGAACATTTTAAGGAAATTCTCAGGCATGATGGCAAATGTGCCAGATGTATAAATGTTAATAAATCTTATTTTTCTTTTTAAAGTATGCATAATAAAAGACATTCCACTAATAAGTGATGCTCAGCTTTTCCCAAAAACTTTATTGTGTTGTGTGTTTCTACAGGGATTTCACCCTTTGTTCTTCAATGCAACCACTGTAACTTGAGAAGTCATTGCACTATTTAAACATCTTGACAATATCATGAATCTAATTTGCTTAAGATTTAGTACATTTTATAACTGAGCGCTTAGGTTGAGATGAGAAAAGAAGCCTTCGTGATGGGCAGGGGGTATAGTATAGCTCCTTTGGTTGAATGCTCCAACCAGCATGCATGAAGCCCTGGGTTCCATCCCCAGTACCACATAAACTGGGTGTGGTGGTGTGCACTTGTAATCCCAGCACTTGGGAGGTGGAGGCAGGAGAATCAGAAGTTCAAGGCCATCCTCAGCTATGTAGTGAGGTTGAGGCCAGCCTGGGATACTTGAGACGCTGTCTCAAAAAGAAAAGTCTGTTGGTAGTTATTTAGATCCTAGCAAAGCACTGTCGTTTTCATTTGGAATATATAATGTTTTATGATATATTCTCAATAAGGTTCAGAAGCTGTAACTCAGTTCAACAAAATCTGTTGAGCTTTAAAATGTATTTGAAGTAATATTTATGTAGGCATTCAAAATTATGAATTAGATGTTTTTAAATTTCTGCATAATAATTTTGCACTGTAAAATATGTCTCTTCTCCCATTTCCTTCTGCCATTCTGATATGCTCATTAAAATATTTTTGTAAACATACTGTGTGATGTGCTGTGATGTTTTTTTGTTGTTCATTTTCACTGTTTTAATTTCAGTTTTTAATATCTGTGGTGCAGGGAACACAGTGTAGCTGGATACATTACCCCTGGCGCCTCCACACCCATGCACAGTGCACTGAACAGTTTTCAGTGGTTCCTGTTTTTAGTTACCTGAGATTGGATGATTATTTTCTGCTTCCCTTGAGACAAGGTTTGGTTTTTCGAGACAGGGTTTCTCTGTGTTAACAGCCCTGGGTGTCCTGGAACTCAATTTGTAGATCAGACTGGACTGAAATTTGGATATCTGCCTTCCTCTGCCTCCCAAGCACGGGGATTGAGGCTATGTACCCAGCCTACTTAGACATGTAGTCCATACTGGCTTTGATCTCCTGTCTCAAGTAATGAAGTATAAAATGTATACCACTATACCTGGAAAGGGTATATTTTTGTTGAGAAACTTTACTACCAAAACCTCAATTACCCTCTTTCTCTGAACTGTATAATTAAAAATAATTAGTTCACCTCTTCTTCAGTGAAGTTCATACCATATATTTTGCAAAATAAAACTTGACTTGTTTTGTCACAATACTTACTTTTCTATGGGCAGGTAATCCAGAGTGGCACTTGTGTTGGTTCAGTTTCATGGGCAATAGTGTGAGTGCACTGACCAGCATACCCATGTCTATAACTGACAGTTGTCAGTATCAACCAGATACACATTCCTAGTGTCATCATAGTCATTAAAATGGCATTGTCAAAATTCACAGCACATGGGAAAAGTGACTCTTCTTTTAATCTTGATTTTTTTTAACTGAAAATGATTTTTTCTCTTATTTCTTGTAATTCTAGTTACTTGGGAAAATTTACGATAAAAATCCAGTGTTCTTCAAAATCCATCTTAAACAGGTTCATCCACTCAAATTAACCTGCTCATTTCATGTATCTTATTATCTGAAGAGACTATTCTCTATATACACATTGTACACTACCTAGTGCAGGACACTGAACCTGTATAAGCTAGAACCAACCACATTCCAATTTTCCTCCATTGAAACTGATGGTGAAGATTTCCTTATATTTAAATGTCAGTAATTGAGACTGGCGAGATGGCTTAGCTATTGCACTGCCACCTGTAACTCCAGGACCAAGGGATCCAGCAGTCTCTTCTGGCTTCCTTGATCACTGTAGGTACATGGTACATAGATATATAGGCAGGTGAAACACCCATACACAAGAATTTAAGAACTGGCTAATTTTTATTTTAATCCAGCAAATGTTTGAGTCTCTTGTACCAGGCACTGAGCTGCTGGCTTCAGAAATTCAGCATGTCTTCAAATAGACAAGCGTCAGGGTCAAAATAAGTACTCTGTAAAAACAGCAGGAGTGATGTTGGCAAAATGAGTGTATCCACTACTTTGCCATAGAATTCTAGTATAACTGAACTTTCTTTGGACCACCAGCTCCTGAATAATGACATAGAGACTTTTTTTTTTTTTTTTTTTTTTTTTTTTTTTTTTTTTTCTGGTTTTTCGAGTCAGGGTTTCTCTGTAGCTTTGGAGCCTATCCTAGCACTCCCTCTGGAGACCAGGCGGGCCTCAAACTCACAGAGATCCGCCTACCTCTGCCTCCCGAGTGCTGGGATTAAAGGCGTTCGCCACCAATGCCCGGCGACATGGAGACATTTTATTACTTATAAAAGGTTGGTCTTACCTTACACTTGTTCCTAACTAGCACTTAAAACTTAAATTAACCCGTTTATATTAGTCTACGTTCTGTCTCATGGCTCATTACCTCTTCTCCATACTGTATGTGTGACTTCTTACATGTATTGCTTGGAAATCCCACCTCTCTTGATTCCTTCTCAGAAGTCCCACCTATCCTCTCCCGCTTAACTGTTGTCCATTCAGCACTTTATTAAACTAATCAGAAGGAGCCTTAGAGACATATCTTCACAGTGTACAAAAAGATTATCCTACAACACTCTCCCTAAAATGTATTTTCTTCAATTTAAGGTGTGTTAGAAAATGACCAACATGAAATAAATGTATGGTTGCCCTACCTTTTTTGTTTTGTTTTTGTGGTTTTTGTTTGTTTTGAGAAGGTTTCTCTGTGTAGCCCCTGTTATTCTGGAACTCATTCTGTGGCTGGCCGTGAGATCCACCTACCTCTGCCTCTCAAGTGCTGGGATTAAAGGTGTGGACCATCACCACCTGGAACCATTTGCTTTTAATACCTACTACAGAGCAGGCTGTATTGAACAGTTGTGTATAATGCTGTGCTGTCTGGTGAGTAGTGTGTGCAGAGGACCACTCGGTGGCTACGTCTGAGAAGAAGTGTAGCCAAATGGAGGTTTTGCCGGGTGGTTAAACATAGCCTTTTCCTCATCATTGCTAACATTGGTTGGCTAATTGACTCAATATGCTCTGGACATTGAAAGGTAGTTTGCAGTAGAGTTCAGCTAATTCCAAGATAAGGGATTTTTGTGGCTATTTTTTGAAAGCAGATGGACTTTGAAGTTCCACAAGGACTGTATGCTTGGCTTTGGAAGGAGGATTCTGGGTCCTGACTTGAGCAGCTTCAGATTCCAGGAAACAGGGACTGGGCTTATTCCAGAGACTTGACAATATCTTTGTTTTGTCCTTGGGTCCAGCTGGGTTTTGACCAGATGAACATGAGCACCACTCATTATGAGTGTGCCCTTTTAAATTTAATAGCTCACTCTTCCCCTCTGAAGGTATACATTGTAGATGGTGAGAACCTACTGGGGTGGCTAATGTTCTGATTTCAAGCTCTTGAATGGGAAGTTTGATGTTTACGGTGTGGCATCCATTCCATTGCCTACATTTACTTCCAGTGTTAAAAGATGACTGCGAGCATTTTAGAAGCCAGGGTACAAATGTTCTTGGGCTATGTCTGCAAAGTTTCTACCAATTGTGAAAATGCCACAATGAAACAGCTCAATTCTGTCAGAATTGCCTGTCAGTGAAAAGCTGTTTTGAAACCTTTCCGAAAATGGCTCCCAGTTAAGATCATGCCACCCTGTTGTGCTCCCATGAGGTGTGGTGAGGAGAAACATTTAACCGATGAAGTGAATGTCACCATAGTCCAAGTCACATGGGCTCCTCAGAGGGTCTGGATCCATTTGTGGCTTGAACACAGAGAAATAGTATTCAGTGGCAATGTCCATTTCCTTCTGAGATAGTTTGTTGTTGAGAAGTGACTCATCTGTAGCTAGAACCTGGGGAAGCATGTCTGAGCCAGCGTCAGCTGGTACCCGTGCTGATGTGCTCAGTGAGTAGATCATGGAGCGGACAGAGAAAGCAAAAACATTATTTCAAATCATCTTCAAGGAAAAACCACTGCATTTCTGTTCATACCAGAGAATAGTCACATTATATTTAGAATCCTATCCTAAAGACAGCTGTTTTTATAACACCATTCTTTTTCCATCCAAATACAGCCATCTTTCAAGGTATCTCTTGATCTGGACACTTTGGTCTTTTGTGAAAAGCAGAATCCCTAGGCTGGCTCCAGGTAAAATAAGGATGATTTGTACTGGGACTGATGTCACAAGGCTGTGAGTTCACTGGGTAAAGACAGGTTTCTAATCTTACCGAACTGCCGCCCCTCCCCCAGGCCAGAATTTCAGAGAGGAAGAAGGTGTTTTTCAAAGTACTGAATACTGGGAACATATTTAAAAAAAAAAAAAAAAAAAAAAAAAAAAAAAAAAAAAAAAGAGCCCATAGTCAAAACACTTAGGTTCATAGACCCATAGATTTTGTTGCCAAATCACTTTGGCAATTGAAAAACAAATTTGATTTTCAGAGCCCTGTGGTTTTCAGATTTAGGACTTTGTAGTTAACTCCAAATTTTTGCTATCACCTGGCAATTAGTCCTAAGTAAGAAAGGCAAATGAAAACAGCTAGTGGTTTTGACATGCACTCTCCGACCCTTCCATAGTCACCAGGAAGCCAAAATGTAAGTGCTGGGTGAGGAGAGCTTGCCATGGTCCAGAAGTAGATCAGTGGTTCTCAGCCTTCCTAATGTTTCAACCTTTTAATGCAGTTCTCATATGGTAATCCCCAACCATAAAAATTTTTGTTGCTACTTCATAACTAATTTTGCTAGTTATGAATAGTAATACAAATATCTGATATGCTGCCCCAAAGGAGTTGCAACCCGGAGGTTGAGAAGCACTGTCCTAGAGCCATATATGCAGCCCTGTCCTTTTATGGACCGGAAAACCTAAGGCCCACCATGTAAAAACAAGACCTTGTCCAGGGCTCTGCAGCCTTGCATCTAACAGCTTAGAGCTAGACCCCTGTGTTCTTTCCCTTCACAACACCTCACAGCTTCTATGGGCTCATGAGAGGACTAGGAAAGCTCCAAGGCCAGAGTCTTGGGTTTCTGTTAGCTATCCTTTGGCTACTTGCAGTTCTGGGTATACAGGCTAATCTTCCTAGGATGGTGGATTCCTTCTGTGTCCTTGGGCTTACAAGAGTAAGAAGAGGCATTCACTCAAACAAACAATGCTGATCATGGCAAAGGATAACCAACAGACAAGCCTGCTGCAGATAATCCTGGCCATTCTGAGCTTTGGCTTCCAGGGGCATTCTGCCTCGCTCACTATCAACCAGGTTTCACGATTCCTTCCAGTCTCCAAATGGGGAAACAGACACCTTGAGAAGTTAGATCTTCTCTTTCTGGTCACTTGTTTTCTAAGGCACACCGCTGTGTTCAAGGAAGACAGGCATCATAGGACAGATGTCTATAGACTATCTACCTCTTTCTCTAAGTGTGATTTTTAGAGAAGGGAAATTCCCTCAAACTGGAAAAACAAAATGGAGGCTAGTGGGTTCTGCATGTAGCAGGAATGTGAACCTTGATCTAGCAAAACAGGAATGGCTATCTGGGCTGAAAGAAGATTGGACAGGATTCGGTTGGGACGTCAGTAGTAAAACTACTAGCTGTAGAATAAAAATAAAAATAAAAATAAAAATAAAACCCAGAGATGGATATTAGGGTTTAAGGGCGATCCTGTCCTCAGACTGACGACACACTGCAATGCTCTCCACCAAACCTCAGACTGCCCTGAGACTGCACTGAGCTCCTGCCTTATATTCCTCCCTAGTGCTGGGATTAAAGGTGTGAGCTGTTTCTCTGTTAGACTGACTCTCTCATGTAGCCTCGGGTGTCCTTGAACTCACAGAGATGCATCTGCCTCTGTCTCCCGAGTTTTGGGATTAAAGGTGTGTGTCACCACTGCCTGGCCTCTATGGCTAACTAGTGGCTTAGCTCTTACTATGTGGGCTAACTAGTGATTTAGCTCTGCACTCTAATCTTCAGGCAAGTTTTTGTTAGATTAAAAACAAAATATCACTCCAATTAGCCAGGCTGGAATTTAGAATCAGATGCTGTGTCTTCCAGAACTCTCCAGAGTCACTCAGAGCTGAGCAATAGAAAGATGTGATTTCCTACAGAGAAATTCCCTGGATCTTATTTACATACTTAAACATCACATGTTCCAGGCCACTTTACCATAGCTTCACAATTTTTTAAAGCAGAGTTCATCATCCCCTGTTAATTCCACCTTGTAAAACCACCAAAATCCACCTTTTCTTCCTCAGGTGCCTTCACACTGGCTTCATCCTGCCAGTCCTCAAGTATACAATGGATTTCTCAATTTGTCCTCTGAAGTCCATCTGCCCCACCCCAGGTCTACTGTAATGCTTCGGTGCTAGCTGCCTTCGGGTAGCTTGGCCAGCTTAGTCACACCGGTAGCCATTGGGCCATGTCTGACTGGCAGATGGCTATTCCATTTTGATGCCCTTTAGCAGGTGAGCACAGTGCCACCACCAGGTTTCAATTGTATTGACTACCATCACCTCTCATAGGCTCTGGAATTTGTCACCCGAGCCCTGTAACTGATGCAAATACTGCAACTGATGTTGCCTTTCCAAAATATGCACTAAAAATTAATTTCTTAAACTGAAAGTTAAAATCGAAAAGTGATCACTATCTAGAATCACTCATTCAACAAATACTTATTGTGTACTTACAGTGTGCCCAGCATGGGTTGGAAACTAAACAGAACAAGATCTCTGCCTTCATAAAACTTAAATGTGATTGAAGACAGTGATCTGGCCTTTGCATGTGATATTCAACTGGGTATCAAGACCCTCACACATCCTCAGTACTTTCTCTTCATCTGAGCCACACACACCCCCAAACTGGTAAGGAAAGCACAGGGATGAAGACATGCTCCAGACAAGGTAAAGTACAGAGGCTGTCTTTGGGTTTCTATTTGTAAAGAGACACCATGACTATGGCAAACCTTTGCTTGTTTGTTTGTTTGTTTGTTATGTTTTGTTTTTTTGAGACAGGGTTTCTGTAGCTTTGGAGCCTATCCTGGAACTCATTCTGTAGACCAGGCTGGCCTCAAACTCACAGGGATCCACCTACCTCTGCCTCCTAAATGCTTGGATTAAAGGCGTGTGCCACCACCACCGGGCTTCAGCAACTCTTATAAAGGAAAACATGTAATTGTGGTGGCTTATAGTTCAGAGGTTCAGTCCATTACCATCATGGTGGTACATCATAGCATTCAGGCAGACATGGTACAGAAGTAGCTGAGAGTCCATCTTGCAGCCAACAGGAAGTTGTCTGAGACTCTGGGCAGTATCTTGAGCACAAATGAGACCTCAAAGCCCGCCTCCACAGTGACACACTTCTTCCAACGAGACCACACCTACTCCAACAAGGCCACACCTCCCAATAGTGCCACCCCCTTTTGGGGGCCAATTTCTTTCAAACACCATGAGGCCCTGGAATTCTAGAGAGCTATTTCCTCTGGAGTCTTCCCAAATTCTGGTTGTAAATAATTATCAGCTCAAAGCTGGAGAGATGGTTGAATGGGCAAAAGCACTTGCAATCCACCCTGAAAACTTGGGGGTGATCACCAGGACCCAGGTGGTGGAAGGAGAGAACCAACTACTGCACGTTGTACTCTCATCTCTAGACCCATGGCACACATGCACACAAATGCATATACAAACATAAATAAACCTAACTTTAAGAATTAGTTTCAGCGACCATTTCTCTAAGGGTACTGTGCTATGTATTTTTGGTTTTTGTTTGTTTTTTGCCAACTTGACATAAGCTAATGTCTTCTGGAAAGAGGGAAGCTCAAATCAGAAAATATGTCTAACATATTGGCCTGTGGGGCAGTCTGTGCCCAGCCCTCTGTGGGTGGTGCCACCTTTTGGCAGGTGGTCCTGGGTTCTATAAGAAGGCAGGTTTAGCAAGCCACGAGGTACAAGCCAGTCAGCAGTGTTCCTCCATAGCCTCCGCTTCAGTTCCTGCCTCCAGGTTCCAGACTGACTTCCCTCCACAGTAGACTATAAGGAGTAAGATGAAAACAACACCTTCTCCCCGAGCTGATTTTGGTTGTGGTGTTGGCACAGCAATAGAAAGCAAGCTATTACAGGAGCCTTTCTCTAGGAGATATTCCTTTGCCCAAATACATTTAGAATTTCCAACACACTTTCATGACGCTGTCACCTTTGTCAACACGGTCCTTATTATTCACCATTGAAACACACTAGAGGAGAGGGAGACATGAGGCACTCCACCTTCATATTGTATCCTCTTATTGTCTGGCCATGTTACCCGCAATGCATTCCTTGCAGAGATAAGGATTTTAATTGGAATCAGAGTCCTGATTTAAACATCCCTGCTGACGGGAAGCAGGACAAGTCCCTTAGCCTTACTTAAGTCATTTGTCCACTAGGAAAATAATGACCAAATACCAACCAAAAGGCATATGCTAAGTTAGCCCTCAGCCCACACTGCCTTTTCATCTTAGCAAACTTTCATCATAACTGCCACCAGAGGCCAAATGGCCAGAAGCTAGGCTGCTGTCACCTCTGATCCAAACCACCACTAGCTTAGTCTTCAGCTTTAAATCTATGGAGCATGAACACTGATTTAAAAACCAAACCAAAAACCACAAAAACTAGCATTTGACAAGATACAGTTGTAATGAGTATGATACCAGGATCATTGGCCTGGTCTAGCCGTCTTGAGAGGCATAGGTCATAGGGTTTTCAGGTTAGAGTCCATGGCTCCTGGGGCACTTTGTGCCTTTCTGTTCTGAGAGACTGAGGCACTCCCTCAGACAGTGAAGCATTCAGGCTGCCTGTGTATCTATGTGTTTCCTAGAAGTCAGCAAAGCACATAAGAGCTTGACAGGAAAATTGCTTTGATGTTAGTCTAGTATACCCTGTATCACTTGCAACCATCACTGTACCCTAGAGCGCCTACCATTATATCAATCCTGGCAATTGCCATTATATTCTGTTTCCAATAAGAGTATAAAAAGTCTGATTGCTTGCTATAAACTTGTCTCAGCCTCAGTCTTGCTGAGACCCCTCCAATTTGGCCTGGTTTTAATCCCCACCACCTATACCAGCAGAGTGTGGATCATTGAGTAAGCACTGACATTTACAACCACCCAGGCCACCAAAGGAGTTCTAGGTCAGACAGCACTCACCATGGTTCACACTGACCTTAGGTGCTTCACTCAGACTTGCCAGAGTTGGAATGTGTCCCACCCTAGGCAAATAGACCTTTCTACACTTTATAAAAGATGATATGGCTTCATGGATGGAAGGAGTCCCACCTTTGGGAACCCTGAAAGGTGCTGATAATCCCTGATGATATGGCTTCATGGCTGGATGATGGATGGACAGAGTCTCATCTTTGAGAACTCTGAAACTTGCTGATAATCCCTCCATCGAGGCTTTCCTCAAGTGACTCTCAGCTGTAGCAAGCTGACTAGGACAATATTCAAAAGGACCGAAGCAGAACCTTGACAAGACACATGCAGAACCACACTCAGAGTAGCAAGAGCCCCACCCATATGACAACCAATGGGCTGTGCTTGTGGACACATCAGGGCAGCATCAGCCTTCAGGGAAAGCCTGATGTGTGGTACAGAGAGGAACCTAGAGGACACAGCATGTGAAACACACCAGTCCCCAAAAGGCGAACAGTGCACAATCCCACTTGTAGCAGCCTCATCAAACTTGGAGAAACAGAAAGAACTGGGGCCATCAGGGACTGGAGGAAGGGGAAATGGAGACATCTGTCCACTGCCCATAGCTTTAGAGAGGGGACCCGGAGACAACTGCACAGCAAGGTGGACATGCTCTGTGGCCTGCACACCTGCAGTAAGTCATGAAGGTAACTTTTTAAAAACACCTCAATGCGATCCTACCTCTAGATACTTTAATGTACTTCTGTCTCCATTGAGTCCATTGTCCCGAAGTGGCTGTCCTGATGAGTGCATTTCACTCAGGGATTATTAACTAATAAAGGTACTTCACACTAAAATACCCCACCAAGCAGGTCAAACATCCTGAAAACAGCTTAGCACTTCTCTCCTAGTTTATCGCAGGCAAAAAGACACTGACTATGCAGTCACAGGTACTGTTTTTGCAAAGCACTAAACTCAATAGCGTCCCACCTCTGGATTGCAGGCACCTGCATGCCACCCTCTTAACTGTGAGCAGACCCCTAGCTCTCAACTGCTCTTGACGCAGGAAGGAATTCTAATACACATTTTCCAGAAAAAGTATTTATTTGACATCATTAAAAAAATACTTAGGCACATGATTTTTCATGTTTATGTCACCTGATTTACATACCTCAATACTCAGTACCTTTTAAAAACACTAAGTAAATTGGTAAATAAAATTTATTTTGAAGAAACATGTGAGAGGCAGACACCTGTGGGCAAGTCAGTCCTTAGCCCGAGAAAGAAACATCTGTGAACAAAATAATCTCTACAAACATTTCTGTGAGACAATAAAATCTAGCCAGTAGATTTCTTTTTAAAAAATACTTTCAAAAGGAAGATTTAAAAAAACAAAACACTAGAGTCTCTTGTCATTCCACAATGTGAAAGGTGACCAGTAGGAGTAGACGGCAGGCTTGGAAAAGTGATGGCATCACAGACTACAGAGAGCTGCCCAGAGGTTGAGAAAGCCAGTCCAGTGTGTTTTATTCTGAGGAGGGGGAGGAAGGCCTGGAAACTACCTTAGGGTGACAGCTAAATCTTCACTGAACCTCCATTCTGAATTGCAACTGTCTCCCACTGAGACAGAAAATAGTTTTCACTTTTTCAAAACTGCTATCATAATATGAAAATAATTTTCCTCTTAAAAAGCAGAATCACAGTGGCTATATTTATACAGAGGATATTTTTGTTTTGTGTTTTCAAAAGGTTAGAGGACAGAGACCATCACCTAAGCATCTGGAGGCAAGGAGGCACAGGCTTGTGCTTCTCAGGAGACATGCTGCCCTAAACCGCGGGCACTGAGCAAACATGGTACTCCATGAAAGGATGCTAGACCTACACCTGCTGTGTGCCCTATGCAATGGAAAAGGCACAGTATTTCTTCCCAGGGAGGAAGAAATCCATTACAACCTGTTCATGGGAGAAACCAGCATCACACAGATGTGGGAAGAAAGAGCATCCAGATCAGGGTAGGCAGTTCTGAGAGCAGCGTGGCTCATCTGAACTAGATGGTCGAAGACCAAGTCCTCTGAAATGGAAACACTGGTCTTTTGGGACGGGCCTAAAATCAGTGTTACCCAAAACTACAGGCAGGCCTTATTTAAAAACCATCAAGTTCTTTCATTTGTGTCCTTTCAACTAAGGTCAGACCTCTGGCTGAACAACTATACACTGAGAGTACCAGACTATGTCCTATTTATTTGTTCACACACAGGTCATTATAAGAGCCCTAATGATGAAAGCAAAGGTGCCCAGGCCTAAAGCCCTCAACATGACTGTGAACTGACCAAGAGAGAGACACTAATACTCTGTGGAGTCCCTGCCTCAGCTTTACTGACCAAAACTTTCTAGATTCCTGATACAAGATTGCAGAAAACTTGCAAATGTGCTTTCTTATAATTTATATTCAAGGTGGAGTCTACAGATGAAAATTTCAAATAGTGGGTAAAAAAAATCAAAACTCTCCTGCTCCCCAATAAAACACAAAAATCCAAGCTGTTTAGGCTTGCAGCATCCAGCCCACTGCCCACAAAGGAAGCAGAGGTCATCTACTCTGCTGACCCAAGCAAACACACCCTCCTCCATAGCAGGTGAGGTCTCTGTGCCATGGCACCCAGCTCTGGCAAACACTCCTCCCTGGGGCCATCAGGCCATGTCCACTCCCAGCTGCTCTCTCAGAATGGGGAAACCACCTGAGATGCTCATCAAGTGCATGCCAGGACTGAGGGTACAGGTGGGTGTGCTTGTAGGTGAGAGCTGGCTTCATGTCACTTGAGGGAGTGACTTTGATCCTGCCAGGAAGAGATCAAGTCCCAACAATACAAAGACACCCAGCTTGCTCTTCCCTCACACTGACCAGTTCATAAGCATGGGCCTTGGTCTTGTCATGAGGACTTGCAAACAGGAATACAAAGAGTAGCAACTGCATCCACATAATGAAGGCATGGGGAGGGAGATGGCAGCCACCTCGACTATCTGCCTCTCTAGAAGAAGCATGAGACTGAGCCACTGCTATGCCATATGGGGGGCTACAGCTTTTCAGTGTCTCACCGTGGTTCTGAAATCTCTGGGGAGTAGGCAGGTCAGGTTCATCTAACCTCACAGGCCTGCAGTTCTAGAGGGCTATAGTGACCAGCACACGGTCCCAGAGTTTTCCAGCTGGACAGAGAACCAAGTTCTCCATATTACATTCAGTCTATGGCAGGAATGAGCTTTTGTAACCACCACCAGCTCATCTCTGCATCCCTGCACTCAGCACAACGCCCAACAGGTATGTCGGATGCATTACTGTTGAGTGACTAACAGAGTAATGGCCAGCTTCCTCCACCCCTTGCTTATCTCCTACTGAACAAAGAAGAATCAGACATCCCAAGGCACACTCTGCTCACCCCACACAACCCGGGTAAGCAAAACACTTCAGAGCCTCGTGGTGTTCTCATTGCCAAAGTTGTCACCTTTGGCAAATGTAGTGATACTATGAAGATAATGCAATTAAAAAAGAAGAAAGTTCAGATCCTAGGCTGCATTTCCAGCTAAATCGCTTCCAGACACAGCCCACTGGAAGGCAGCTACAGCTGGAGCACATTGTATACACTACCAGGGTCACCTGGATAGCAAGCTACAGGGCAGAAGATTTCAAAACACTGAAGTTTCACTGTCATCGAGAAGAAAAATAAATTAAAACCCACCCAGAACATTTTCCAGTCTGATATAAATTAATTCAAACATAGTTAACATATAGTCAATAAATTTTCAAAGGCAACAATCAATCCTAGGGTCATACAATTGCAAAGGAATATTACGCCCCAGAGTCTGGACGCCTCAGTGTCTTCAGGGTACATGAGTGGCAGCCATCAGGTCATACGGCTCCTTTCCCCTTAGTGTCCAGCTTGTTATTGGCCTCAGACTGTTTGCTCAGCTGCTCTTCAGTGAAAGTGATGTAAGAATACACCAGGCTTCCAGCAATACTGCAAGACAGAAAGCCATCGTGAGGGAACGAAAAGAAGGAAGGACTCGTGACATTTGTAATGGGGAAAAGTCTGATAAAAGTTAAGTGCCCTGCACTAGGAAACTACTATATAAATTCACACAGTGGAATACTACACATCCATTAAAATGCTATAAATGACACAGGCAATGACATCTTAAGTGAGAAAAAATGCACAAAACATTAAATGTTGGTCACCTCTATATGAATCGCATGACCATGAAGGCAGCTTCAGTTTGTACTAGCAGAGAGACAGATCTGGAGGACACACCAAGACCATTCCCTGTCGGTGAAGCTGGCTGCTAAGATGCCAGGTGGTTCCTCTCCAGTCAAAAGCAAGCTCGTGGAGAACGGTCCCCTGAGCTCTTGACCTATGGCAGCTGGTAACCAGCATGCCTCACCTGAGTGCATCCATGCAGACAATGGTGTCCATTCTCTGGGGAGACTTCAAACCTTCCTGCTGCTCAAACTAAGCTGTAAGCTGGAGGGGTTCCCAGAAACAGCACCCCTGTCCGACTCTTCACTTGAAACTGCCAGTACCCATTCCACTGGGTCACCAGCCAGCTGAGAGCCTGGGTTGAGCCCTCCCCTTAAAATTGTCCTGCCCTGGATCTAGCTCCCATTTTCGGCCTGGCCACAAGCCTCATCAACATGATTTAAAATTCATTCTGTTTTCCTCTGGGCTTTGATGTCCCAGCCCCAGGCCAGCTGTGGAAGGGTGAAAACTGCCAACCTCAGGCTCCCTCCCGTGCTGAAGCACCCGAAACTAGGAGCTAGTATACCACTCCCCACTCCCTGAGCCCTCTCTCCAGGTTACACAGAGATGCCTCTACTCTCACCTTCCCAGCACCATTGCCGCAGACCCACTTGTTGGAGTGCATGGTGTGTTTGCATTTTCATGCATCTCCTGCAACTTCGAAACCCCTCCAAAGTTGCTCCATCCCTGCAAGGTGCCCATTTTACAAAAGAGGAAAGGGAGTCCTCAACCTGTAAGAAACTTGCTCAGAGGTAGTAGAGAAATGGCTCAGTGGTTAAGAGCACTGACTGCTCCTCTAGAGGACCTGGATTCGATTCCCAGCACCCACATGGTAGCTCACAACTGCCTATAATTAGAGTTCTAGGGGGTCCATGGCACCAACTATACATGTGGTGCACATATACATGCATGCAGGCAAAACACTCATACACAGGTGGTTTGCCTGCATGCGCATCTGTGCACTATGTGCATTCCTGGTGTCCAAGGAGACCAGAAGAGGATACTGGATCCCCAGTTCAGAGTTACAGACAGGGTGCTGGGAAGTGAACCCTGGTCCTTGGGAAGAACAGCCAGTAATCTTAACCACTGAGCCACCTCTCCAGCCCCCCAAGTCTTATTCTTTCAGCTCGAGTCCCCTGCAAGGGGCTTGCAGTCTGCGGTTTTCCCTTTGTCACTGACTCCCAGCCAGAGGCTCTTGCTGCCCTTTCCTTCACCTGGCAGCTTTCCCATCCCGCTGCTATAGAAGCTGATCCGCCCTTCTGGAAACAGTTCTGCTTCCAATGTGTTAGTTCTGGCAGATGAGTTCCCTGATAGCTTGGCTAGGACCAAGCCTTTGTGCTAAAGCTACAAACTCCCTGAGGACCACATGTACATCTCCCCACCACAGTCAATTCCCTTTCCTCCAAAGCCACCCCAACCCAAAACAACAGAGAAGGACTGCTCCTTGTTTCTTTCATCCCATTTTCTCCTAGGTTGTTATATCCCCATGACAACCTAAAAGCAATACTCTTACTTTTCCTGTCACTGAGTCCTTTCACCTGGACAGGAACACCAGGAAGTACAGGCTTAGAGCATGGCAGGGCTTATCCATGTCCCCAGATCCATTCTACCCTGGTATAATAAAATAATCCTAGACCAGAGTTGGGTCTTGGTCCAAACCCTCAATGTATCACTAGCTCTAAGATAGGAAAATTAATTCATCTTTCTGAAGCATCATCTCTGTCCTGAATAAGAACGCCACTGTGAGCAGGGGATGGTGGTACAGGCCTTTTTATTTTGTTTTGATTTTAAGAGACTGGGCTTCTCTGTGTAGTTCTGACTGTCCTGGAACTCACTCTGGAGGCCATGATGGCCTCGAACTCATGAAGAACTTATGAGTGCTGGGATTAAAGGCCTGCAAAACCACAACCACCACCACCACCACCACCACCACCACCACCACCACCACCACCACCACCACCACCACCACCACCACCACCACCACCACCACCACCACCACCACCACCACCACCACCACCACCACCACCACCACCACCACCACCACCACCACCACCACCACCACCACCACCACCCTCCACCGCTGCCCCAGCTGGTACACTTCTTTAGTCCTCACACTCAGGAGGCAGAGCCAGGCAGATCTCCATGAGTTTGAGGCCATCCTGATCTACAGAGTGAGTTCTAGGACAGCCACAGCTACACAGATAAATCCTGTCTTGAAAAACTACCCCCCCCCAAAAAAAAGAAAGAAAGAAAAAAGAAAAGAAGGAGGAGGAGTCGGCCACTGTGCTTTTAGGTTTATCTGTTAGATTAAATGAGATTACATGTGCTGAGAATATCATCGTGGGCTAGGATTGTAGCTCAGTGGCAGAGTGCTTGCCCAGCATAAGCAAGGCTTTGTGTTTGATGCCACTAAAAAAAAAGTAAGAATAAAAATAAAGTCCATGTTAATACATGCACGCTTGTGGGTGTGCATGCAAGCGCGCGTGCACGTACACACACACACACACACACACACACACACACACAGAGCACACTATAACACAGTGGTCAAAAGGAGATGTTTCTGTTCTACAACTTTCCCTGTTGACCCTGATACAGACGAAGAGGGGAAGCATCAGCACAGCTACTCACGACGCTATAAAAACACTGTAAAACAGACAGCACACGAACAACAGATATCTGCTTCTCCCAGTTCTGGAGCTGGGCAGTGTAGAGTGAAGGTGGAATGTGTATGTGACAGGGAGCCTTCTCACTGGGCCCCTGAATGAAGGAGAGAGCAAGGTTCCCTGTTTTACTAGGGACGCCAATCTCAAGAAATCTTCATTTCCAAATGCCACCCCTCTTCCCTGGGCTTTATTCCTAAAACTCTGACCCTGAGAATCAGAAAGAGCATGTGAACACTGGAGGAACCCAGCATTCGGTCCACAGCAAGGGATGAAGGAAAGAGCTGCAGCCGGACCTTCAGGTCTTCCACCCCGACCATCACCAAGTACTGTATTTACAGAAATGCCAATTCATGAAGTTCTCACCTGGTGAGAACTGAATATCCATCAATAACATGTATAGGCACATTAAAACCGAGAACCAATCATCATACAAGCCTTTCTGAAAATACGAGCGTAAGCCTTAGAGACCCAAGTATTACTAATTCAGAGACCTGCTGTGGTAGACACAGTTGGAGGATAAGAATGACAATGGGGTCAGGGAGGAGCAGGAGGAGGAGGAAGAGGAGGAAGATCAGGAGCAGCAGCCGGAGGAGGAGTAGGAGCAGGAGAAGCAGCAGCCACACTTCCCCACAGTCAGAGGGGTCTAGTTAGATTACTGCAGTCTAGCCTCAAATTGGACCATCCACCTCTTCCAAGTCTGAATCTATGGAAATCCATACAGACTACACAACTCTGATCACAGAGCTCATGGTTTCTAGATTCACAGTATGCTGGGAGTGGAGCTCAGTGGGTAGATGGCCAGCTTAGCATATCAGAGACACTAGGCTTGATCTCCAGAGCCCTCTAACATGGATGGTAGATGCATATTGTCACAAATCAACAAAAGGGGCAGGAGAGATGGTTCAGGGGTTAAGAGAGCATACTCCTCTTGTTGAAGAGCTGAGTTCTGTTCCCAGCACCCACATGGTGGCTCATAACTGTCTGTAACTCCAGTTCCAGGGGATCCAATGCCTTCTTCTGACATTCACAGGCTCCTGCACACACATGGTGCACATACATCCACTCATATGAAATAATACATATTTTTTAAAAAGAAACGTTACCTCCAAGGCCCCCAGTCATGGCCATGTTCATTACCTTCCAGCAATTAAATACTCAGGCTGTAAAATCCATCAGTGTAGCAGCCCCATAGCAGGAAACAAGAATCCTACAGTCCCCACTGCCTCCATGTTATTTACCACTGACATGTTAGTGTGAGTCCATGCAGACAGCTCTGCACTCTGCAAGCCAAACATGCCAATCTACTTAAAACCTATGAATCAAGAGTTTGATTCTGCTATTTCCAAACAAGTACAATATCCGCCAAATAACTGATTTTAGGTGCAGTCTCCCCATAGAGGTAAGACCACTCTCAACTGCCCCAGAGCAAGCCTTCCTACCTTCCTTCTCATTAGCCAAACAAACAGCTGCATTGCCACTGTCTCCACAGGGCCACTGTGAACTCCAGCAGCTACAAAGCTGTGAGCTGTGAGCTGTGTGACAGAGGGCACCTTACTTCAGTTCCCTCATGTGTGCAGCAGAGACTAGGGTTCCACTCCTACAAGACTGAAATAGGAATTAAGCTGTAGAACCATGTAAAGGAATTAGTTCCTGAGGACCATATATTAAATTACATACTTCTGCTATATAATAGGGTAATAAACCATGTCAAAAGGTTAAGAGCATTCAGTAGCTAACTAGTAGGAATAAATGTCAAATGCTGAGGCCTATCAAATTCCTTCTGTGAAGCCTCCCACACAAACCCTGTAAGGGTTTGTTTCCTGGGAACAGCACCTGAATTCCTGACTGTCTGGATAGTTACTTCATAACAGCAGCCCTGCAAGCTCTTCACAGGAAGGTCTACAGGTGCCTGGTCATTACTGTGAATACCACCAAAGGGTACCACACTACTACCCTGAACTGCAGAAGGATCTCCACAGGAATGCCTGACAATAATACAACCACTCCATATGCCCTCTATTCCTTCAGGCCAAATGGATTCTGTTAAGGCCCTCCCCA